GTGGGATCCGAACCCTCGGGCGGGAGCGCCGCCGCGCTTCCCAAGCGGCGCACTATCCAGTGCGCCACCGGGCCGGGCCCCACAAAAACTTTCAAATTAGATTTATATTATTTTTACCTGCTGAATATTTATGTACATGTCCAGCATTAGTACACACACACACACACACCCCAAGAGACTTCAAAAGTTTGTGGAAAAATAGAATTGAAAGATAATACTAATCTTTCTGTGAACATTTTTTTTTTTCCTTTTTGTCTTTTTTCGTGACCGGCAATGGATCGCAACCCTCAGTGTCGCGCCCGTACCGGACCGGGACCGGCAACGGGATCGCAACCCTCGGTGTGGCACCCGCACCTCGCTCAGCCAGTGAGCGGGAACCGGTCTGTATGTGGGATCCGAACCCTCGGCGGGAGCGCCGCCGCACTCTCAAGCGGCGCACTGTAGCAGTGCGCCACCGGGCCAGCCCTCTGTGAACATTTTGAGGACCCTCTCATATACATATATGTAAACTAGCAGAAAAAAAGTACACTATCTGGAGAGAAACACTGTGAATGAAAACTTTCGGGCTGGTGGTTTAGCTCAAGGGTTCAGATCTCTGTACAAGCTAGCCACAAAAAAAAAAGAGAGAACAGAAACTCTTGTTCTATCCTGACTTTTTTCTCTTTTGGACATTTAAAAGGATAAATAAAAATCTACTCATAGGTACATCCATGAAGTTTTGAGAAAAGAACTTTTCAACATTCAAGGAAAACAATAAAAAAAAAGACCTTTCCATTTCTGTATTTAGTATAAAGGTACTTTACAATTTTTGTTCAATTCTTAAGACACCCATTTCAACATTAATTGTGTGTTTCTGGAATCTCTAATTCTAGATTATGAAAGAAACATGCATTCCAGAATTGAAGAAATACAACGAACAGCTTTCAGCTACTTCCTATACAACAAATAACTGGAAAATAATGGAAACCTCACAGCTCCAGCTCTTTTGGTTCTGTCAAATAGCAACTTGTGTCATGTAATAATAAGGAGCACCATCCAAAATATCTCCAGAGGATGATCAGACATTACTTTATTATTATTATTTTTTTCCTTTTTGTCTTTTTTTTTCGTGACCGGCAACGGATCGCAACCCTCAGTGTCGTCATCAACAGTGACCAGAGCTGGGTGTCTTATCAGCACCTGTGTGAGAGGAAGCAGAGGCAGCCACAGGCAGCCTGATGGATGGGTTGACAGAGTGGCCCAAACAGCCCCCAGGTGTTCAGTCTGAGAACAGCAGCTGGAAGTGGGAGGGCCTTGCCCAATCCAAGAGCAGGTGAGTACACGGGACGGGACGCTGTTATAAGGACTGAAGGGCAGGGAGGGTCCCGCCCTTGGGAACTGTGTGATAAAGGAGCAGAAGGTCTAGAGAAAAGCAGGAAAAGGGAACAGAGCCAGGCAGCGTCAGAGAGCAAGTTGCCTTAGCTTCGAACACAAACCAATGACTCAAAAGGTACTCTTGAAGGTGCAAAAGCTATTTCTAACCAGGCCTCCTTCTAAAAGTTCAGGAAAACTAACTAACATAAAACTGACAAAAGTCTCAGAAAAACACTGAGGTCAAATCCCATACAAAGATGTTAAAAGAAAAACAGGATGTGAAGTAGAATGACATCCCCATAGACAACAAACGCACACCAGAAAACATGCCTGCAAAACAGACCCAAGCTGTAACTCACTGTTTTGAGGTGTGGATGATAAGAAAATTATACCAGGAGAGAAAAGAACAGCACGAATCAGAGTTAGAAAAATTTAGAAATGAGGTGAGGAAAGAATTAGAAATAAATAAAAAAAAATCATCTCAGAAATGAAGACCAAACTAGAAGGAACACAAGAATGAATGAACACAACATACAAAACCTGAAGAATGACAGAAGGCAAAAAAGAAGATAATTTTTAAAATTAGGGAAAATATGAGAAAAAGTGACAAAAAGATTCAACTCATGGATAACAGGAGTTCCTGAAGAAGGAAACCTAATGAAGGGTGGAGACCAAATCCTAAATCCTTTCCAGAGATTTAAAAAAAAAAAAAAATTGAAACTACATATTTTATTTTTTTTTTTGTCTTTTTTCATGACCGGCAACGGATCGCAACCCTTGGTGCTGCGCCCACACCTCGCTCAGCCAGTGAGCGGGAACCGGTCTGTATGTGGGATCCGAACCCTCGACGGGAGTGCTGCCGCGCTTCCCAAGCGGCGCACTGTAGCAGTGCGCCACCGGGCCGGCCCGAAACTACATATTGAAAGAGCACACTGAATACCTAGAATATGGACCCGATATAATCATCACAAAGACATATTCTAGTGACATTACTGGACTTTAAAGATAAAGGAGTATAAAAAAGCCACTTTTGGGGATCTAGGCAAAAAGAACAAGTTAACTTATAAAGGCAAGAAACTTAGATTATTATCAGACTTTTCAAGAGCAACACTATGTATCAGAGAAAATAAAGAAAACATTTAAGATGATCAAGTCAAGAAAATGTGAGCCAAGGATTTTATACACAGCAAAACTGATTTACAAGCATAATGGATACAGACTGTTGTCAACATTAAGAACTGGAAATACCACTCCCATGAGCCCTTCCTGAGGGGTCTACCAGGGAACAGGGTTCAGACAACCAAATGACTAGAGAGACGTCAACATAAGCACTGGTGGTGAGCCATAAATATATAGCACCATCCCCATGCTGACCAGCCAAAAAAAATACACACATGCACGCACGCGCGCGCACACACACACACACACACACACACACACACGCTTGTTGAACTAAGTAACTCTAAAGGAGGTTAAAAGGGAGAGAGTAGAGCGTGTAATAGTTATTGTCCTAAAGCACAGATATAGACAGTGTAACTATCTTAAAATATGGGGAAACCGTCATAGTCAAGAGGGACCTAAGGAGATGTGACAACTGAATATTACGTGGTATCCTGGATGAGATCCTGGAACAGAAAAAGTTTCATATTGGGTAAAAACTAATAAAATCTGAATAAAGTATGAACTTTAGTTAATAATGATGTATCAATATATGTTTATTAATTGTAACAAATGTATCATACTAACATAAGATGCTAATAATGAAGGAAACCGAGTGTGAGGTATGTGGGAAATCCCTGTATTTACCTCAGCAATTTTTCTGTAAACATAAAAGTATTCTAAAATAAAAAGTTTACTAAAAAAAATGGGAATGAAGAAAGAAAATATAAAAACACTGAACCATTTTCAGTAGGCATATTGGTGATGATGATATTAAAATTAATGTTCAGAAGCTGTTGTGTGTATGATGTGGTGTAAAAACTATGGGGATGTTAATTCAGTCATCCCCCGAGTCCTTGGGAACTAGGAAAAGAGGAGATGCAGATATTATAGAAGAGATTAGGTGAAAACCCTGTAGTACTAAATTTGATTTGGAGTTTTCAGGATGAATTTATGCAGTGTTTTATCTGTGTGTATGTGTCTCTGCACATATGTGTATATCCCCTAGCCCTGTCCACTGAAAGTCCACTGAAAAGACCACCCAGTAGCAATGAACATCCCTGCATCCCAAGCCCGAGTGCAATCTTAAAATATCATTTCCTACTAAGGCTTTTTGAGGAATGTTTAATTCCAGTTCTGGGGCAGGAAATTTATAAAATAAGCCTGGAATATCTTGTCATATCAGATAGCAAGGAGGTGCTCAAAGACTACTAGGGTTATGTTAAAAGACTCAAGAGCCAACCATTGGCCATAAATGGGGCAAGTTGAGTTTCACTCAAGGTGATAACCACAATGGACTGAAACTCATCAAATATTTAAAATCTATTAACTCACAATGATACTTAAAAACCAAACCAACTATAACAATGGGAAACTTTCTGAGAAATGCGTCTTCATTAGGTGATTTCATCATCGTGTGAACATCACAGAGTGTATTCACACAAACGTAGACGTACGGTCTGGTTGTATGTACCATGGTTGTATGTATAGCCTATTACTCTGAGGCTGCAAACCTGTGTGGCCTGTTACTATACTGAATACTGGAGGCCACTGTAATACAATGGTAAGTATTTGTGTGTCTAAACATCTAAGTATAGAAAAGGACAGTAAAATACGGTACAATAAAAAATGGTAGTTTTGTTTACACCAGCATCAAGCTGCAAACCTGTGTGGCCTGTTACTATACTGAATACTGGAGGCCACTGTAATACAATGGTAAGTATTTGTGTGTCTAAACATCTAAGCATAGAAAAGGACAGTAAAATACGGTACAATAAAAAATGGTAGTTTTGTTTACACCAGCATCACCACAAACATGTGAGTCATGTGTGGAGCTAGGACGTTATGACAGCTAGGATATCACCAGGCACTAGGAATTTTTCAGCTCCATTATAATCTTAAGGGACCACCATCGTATACATGGTCCAATGTTGACCAAGAAACATCATTAAGTAGTTTGTGACTGTAGATGGTAACCTTTGGCAGATGCTAGGAATAGATTCATTAATTTGAAAAAATGGAAAATTAAAAGAAAGAATCAAGCACTTGTAGTGACTTTCCTGCAAGAATTTACTGCTGGGTAACCACATAGTAGGTAAGAGGCAGCTTTGCTTTATAGACGTTGTCTAGGGAATAAATGAAAAAAATGAAAGAATTCAAATGTCACTATTTTTGCAACTCCTAATGAATTAACAGACCGAGTGGCATTGAGCAGTGGCTAACCTCATAAAAACAGACCACCAGACATTATGTGCCTCCTGATAAAAGAACACAGCAGGGGATCAAACCTAAGTCTGATGAAGTCTCCAGATGCACCTGCCAACCTGCGGGAAGTGCACAGGACAGAGGGACGTGGTATGCCCTCTGCCACTCCACACTATGGGAAGCTCTCCCAGTCAAATGTCCCATTTCTTCAAAAGATAAATTGTAAGGAAAAGAAGAGGATGGAGAAAAACCTGCAGATTAAAGAGACTTATAAGACACTCCAAATTAAAATATAAGCAGGACTATGGTGCTTGGGGATGCACAGTCGGGTGTTAAAACTGTAAAAAACATGAAGAAATGATTATTATAAAAATCAAGATGGGGCTATTTTTGAGAGAGGGAGGCAGTGGTATTCACACAGGACGCATGGAGTCTTTCTGGGGCGGCTGGCAAAGTTCTATCTCCTAACCAGGTGGTGGTTATAAGGGTGTTCAACCTGTAATAATTTGTTAAACTATACATTTAGTTTGTGTAGTTTACCTGTATCTATGTTTATTTTTAAATTAAAAAAAAGAAAAGACACTGACTAGATGTGAGCACCTCATGATTATCCTGAAGATGAAAACACAAGGCAAACCGAGGTTAACTACCTTGTCTTGGGTAAAAATTCATTTTGGACTTTGTCAGTTCTGCACACACACAGGGAGAGAGGCTTACCTCGGCCAGGGCCAGGGCGGAGAACGGTGTGTCTTCGGCAGGTTTCACCACCACAGTGCAGCCGGCTGCCAGGGCAGCCCCCACCTTCCTGGTGATCATGGCACTGGGGAAATTCCACTGAGGTCAGAAGAGCAGAAGAGCAGCATGAGACAGAGGAACAACCACCTCATTCTCCAGAAAAGGGCATGTTAGGAAGTCAGTTAACAAATTCCACAGCACAACTGACTGGCGAACCTCTTCTCCCACTGCGCAGGTGAGCTCTCCGAACACCTGGCCCCTGCCAGCTCGAGGGACTCAGGAGATAAAGGCTCAGAAGGACAGGAAACATTTTAAGAATTTGACACAGTATGAAATTATCTAGACCAGGGATCAGCCAACTTTTTCTGTAAAGAGCCAGACGGTAAATTTTTTAGGCTTGTGAGGTATACAGTTTCTGTCACAACCACTCAACTCTGCAGTTGTATTGTGAAAGCTGCCACAGAGAGTATGTATATACAAATGAGTGTCGCTGTGTCTCAATAAAACTTTATTTACAAACACAGGCAGTACGTGGATTTGGCCTGGGACCCTTGGGAGAAAATATTAGCAATAGTGATTCTGAAAATGGCAGATGATCTATTACTTCCCTCTATATACATATTTATAGATATCTATAGACAACTAGATATCTATAATAACAATATTTTATTTTGACAAACTTGTGTAGTGCTTTTTCTGTAGCAGGGATTGTTCTAAGCACTTTAAAATTACAATTAATTCAATCCTTATCACAACACTAAGAGGCTGATATTATTCTCCTCATTTGCAGGTTTGGGGAAGCTGAGACAGTGCAGGTAAGTAACTTGCTTAAGGTCACATGAGCTTCAAGTCAAACCTAGTGAGTCTAGGCAGTTAGGGGGATCCTATCTGTAACTATGCTGAGCAAGCAAAGAACCACAGTCTTGAGACCAGCTGGCAGATATAAGAGAAGTTAATATGTCATCTAGTAAAGGTAGGTCCAAGAAAGGCTGGTTGCCAAGGGAAAGCTGGCCACCCTGTAAGTATACTGCAGCCCCATCCAGGCAGATACGATATCTTATTTTTTAGCCTTTTTACCTCCAGAACCATGCCCAGTGCCTGCTGGTAGGTCCACAAATGCTTTGCTGTTAATGATAACAATAAATTAAGCATAAATTTTTTCCCAAATTATGGCACATTAAAAAATGTGTCATATCTTAAGTCTTTTGAAAAGTGATTAATACAAGAAGATCTTTTCAGAGGTGCTAGGCAATGCCAGGAAGAAGCCTTCGTGTCAAGTCAGAAAAGCCCCCTGGGTCCTCCTGTGGTCATCCCACTTTTGCAGGTGTTACCAAACACATACTCCCACTCACTGCCACCACGCCTAATGCAATTGCAGAGGACCAGGAAACACACCTCCGCAATCAGCAAAGGAATCAGGAAACCAGGATCAGGTGACAAGCTAACAGGATGAGCACACCTCCTTACGAGGAAGAATAAATTGTTTCCTGACTCCTTACCCAATAAATTGTTTCCAGTCACCTACTCTACCACCTTGCTGATCCTGCCACATACCGGGGTGATGACTGTGGCCACACCAACGGGTTGCTTGAGGACCAAGGCCCGCTTTTCCTTTGCTGCGGTATAAATAATGTCTCCATAAATGCGGCGGGCTTCCTCTGAAAACCACTCTAGGAATTGGGCAGAATAGAGAATTTCTCCCTGTGCCTCCTTCAATGGCTTTCCCTGAATTAAATCAGAAAAGAACACATTTATTATCTTCTTATAATAAATGCATGACTCTGTGTTTCTAAACTCTTCAAAGCTGCAGGAAGCATAGAAAAGTCTCCTATTACAAAACCCACAGGGTTGTTGGGAAATTTCTAACTTTAGCGAGAGTTTTAGAAAGCAGAATTACAAATGATAATGGATATATGTATGACTGGATCACCCTAAACCACAAGAGTCATCTGTATTTTCAGTATGTTTACAAATTAGGAGGAGACACCTAGAACTGCATATTCTAATTTTTTTCCTTCTTCCAATATCTCTGAAATGTCATAACCATAGTGTTAAATAATTTATTACAGCAATGGAGGAACTACTGATACATTTTTAAATGTGCAAAAACATGAAAAATCAAAGCAGCCACATAAAAAAATTGGAATAATGAAAAAGCAGTATTTATATAGTTCCAAACAAAATCTAGTTTTGCATATTATTAAAGAATAAACTAGAAGATACAAATTTTATTTTAGCAAATGTGAGTGCCTGGCACAATATCAATTTTTTATCTGATCAGTAGATGAGGAATCTCATATTCTTTAGCAACAGAACAGCACTGATGGGAAGTTGAGACTTTCTCAAGCTTTAGTCCAAGAATTCCTAGACAGTTTCTCAGGGCAGCAAGCCAGGATGCTGAACTTACACATTCAGCTGTGATTATCTTGGCAAGGTCATCCTTATTTTGTATCATTAAATTGTACCATTTCCGAAGTAATGAACTCCTCTCCTGAAAAAGAAATAACAAGGCAGAGAAGTAATGACATACCAAGTGTAAAACAGATTACTAAATAATCTCCAATTTCCTAAAATATTAGCAGTGTGGTCTATTGTTTATGTAATTATTAATGTTATGTGACAATTTGACTGGTCTACAAAATGCCCAGATAGCTAGTAAAACATTACTTCTGATACCACCCAAAGCAATCTATAGATTCAATGCAATCCCCACCAAAATACAAATGACATTCTTCACAGAAATAGAAAAAAAAAAAACAATCCTAACATTCACATGGAACTACAAAAGACCCCAAAGAGCCAAAGCAATCCTGAGGAAAAAAAAAAAAAAGTCAGAGGCATTACACTCCCTGACTTCAAACTATACTACAAAGCTATAGTAACCAAGACAGCATGGTACTGGCATAAAAACAGACACATGAACCAGTAAAACAGAACAGAGAACCTAGAAATCAACCCATGTACTTACAGCCAACTGATCTTCAACAAAGGCACCAAGAACACACACTGGGGAAAGGACAGCCTCTTGAACAAATGGTGCTGGGAAAAGTGGATATCCATGTGTAGAAGAATGAAACTAGACCTGTTCCTCTCACCACATACCAAAATCAACTCAAAATATATTAAATACTTAAATATAAGACTTGAAACTATAAAAGCCCTAAAAGAAAACATAGGAGAAACACTTCAGGATGCAGGACAGAGCAAGACTTTATGAGTAAGACTTCAAAAGCACAGGCAACAAAAGAAAAAATAAACAAATAGGATTATATCAAACTAAAAAGCTTCTACCCAGCAAAGGAAACAATCACAGAGTTAAAAGACAACCTACAGAGTGGGAGAAAATGTTTGCAAAGTATATATCTGACAAGGGATTAATATCCAGATCATACAAGGAACTCAAACAACTTAACAGTAAAAAAAAAAAAAAAAAACTGATTAAAAAATGGGCAAAGGAGCTGAATAGACATTTCTCAAAAGAAGACATACAAATGACCAACAGGTGTATGAAAAAATGCTCGATATGACGAATCATCAGGGAATTGCAAATCAAAACCACATTGAGATATCATCATACCTGTTAGATTGGCTATTACCAAAAAGTGAATAACAAATGCTGGCAAGTATGTGGAGAAAGGGGAACAGTTATACACTG